ACTCCCCCGCTTTAATAACTATAAAATACGTATCAACATACCGTGTATTACGATTCTGAATTGACATTCGGCTTTGTTTCCAGCTAAATCTGTGGCAGTGTATGAAATGATATGCGTTCCTTCACGGAATTCCGAGCACGGCTGTGGGCCTTGGCGCAATGGCCTAAATGGAATGTGAGAAATTTGTTGTTAAAATATAATATAAATGTGAGTGTACTTAGACCATTAAAATAGTTGACATATTCTTCAAAGGAAATGAGACATCGGTATTATATGCTAAGATCATAGCGATGCTTGAAACATTTATATCCCAACCATCTACTAAATAAAAATATGCGATAAAAGGTTTTCCACATATGTACGTATGTATACACACTTCTACATACATCATTACAGTACAGTTGATTAGATGCACTATATTTTCATAAATATATTGATTGTGTGTACCTTGACAATATTTTGAATACAACTAAATAAAATATGCATGGTGATCAGTGAAATGTAGTCTTGAACGAATATTCCTTCAACTTGAATTTCCGTGGGAAAGCGGGGTTTATTTCGCCTAATTTTGTCGAGAAAAAACCTTTAGACTGGTCGTACTCTCTACGAGAAACATAGACACACCATCATGTTAATTACCACATCGACAAAATCAGTATTAGCTGGTAGGATGTTTTTGGATGATTCGTGAAAAGTAACACGGATGAGATTTAAATACTTAATAACTTATGAAAAGAAAGAAATTGTAATATTCCTCGGGGAGACAACCATTCCGATAATACATTAATAGTTAGGACCCAAGAATAATAAATACCGGGTAGTATTGATTTGCTTAGACGACCTTACTTAAAGTAACTGGGACCTCTGTTGTCACTGGCCCAAGGTTCTTTCCAGCAAACAGATACAGTATCTCTACCAGACGATATACTACGCGGGGGTATGTGTTGTGGGCACCCGTGTAACTTTGGTGGTACTGTGTCTGAAATAAGAATAGGTGGTGTTATTTCAAATGAGCATCGTTTTGTGATTGTATTATGTTTCAGCTCATATATGGTATGATTTGTGAAAAAGTTATTCAAGTTTAAATGGGGAAATGTTAAGGAATTACAAAATAAGTATGTTTTTAATTTGATTAATTTTGGAATAATTTAGAATTGGCATTTTCGTCCCAAACATATCAGTCAAACATGGACAATCTCCTACTTTAGGTTATGTTGTCACAGTTTATATAATATCCTATGGAATAACTAAATTATGTAAAGGCAGACAGAGACCGCACACAGCCTCACCGTTAAGATAACAGATACATCATATCTCACTACACATGAAATATCCGTTGCGTAATAGCACTTACCAGGAGGCGGCAATGGCAAAGGTTCGATACATGATAGATCAGGACACGGTGGAATCGGAATACAGTCACAGCATCCACCCGGGCATTCACCCCAATTTGCATCTGGAAACAATCGAACAATATCAAATAATAACAATTTTCTTATCTAAGTGTGAGTGTATAGTTTAAATCACGTACTTTCGTGACCAAAAAACAAATGCACATGATTCTTATGCTGTACATGAATACTAGAATGTTGAAAATTGAAAATGGTAGAACATTGGGTATTCCACGTGACCAAAGATTATGTCCATTTGGTTGCAGGGTCACAGAGGACGAATATCATTTTACTATGGTTTGTCCAAAATATGAAGCACTTAGACAAAAATTCTTACCAAAATATTATTTTTCACCACCAACCAAGATGAAATTCATTGCTACAGAGTACTAACTCGTATATTTTACTAAGTTTGGGTAAATATTTGTTTAAGAGTTTTCATTACAGAGAAACTGAAATGGAAGTATGATTTGAAGTATATGTATCTTGTAATTTTAAAGCGACCGTGTGTAATTTAAGTTTTGAAATGTAACAGTACTTTAGACCGGTGGCCATATAGTGCGGAATAAAGAAATGTATATATATACTAGAATGTTTTAATCTTTAAAAAATCTGTAAAACTTGACACGAGGTGAGAAGTAGTGTAACGGAGAGCCGATTACAGTAGCAAGGCGCACCTGTTCGAATATCGTGTTTCGAATATATATATTCGTATATGTGCTTGTAATTCCGAATAAATACATGATTCAATAAATTTAAAATAAAATCATTGACCAACAGCTTTTCGGATGGCGGGCCGTCCACCATTTTATTTCAACCATACCATATGCCTTGTTTGATATATCTATGCAATACATTGGTTGTGTGAGTTGTCACATCGGCGAATCAGGCAATGTTCTATTTTGAATGTGGGCGTGGTTTAAATGTATATACCGCAAACATTTTAATATGATAACCATAACAATACACCCGGTACCCCATGTTTTTGCTAAATCAATAGGCGAGATGTACACTCTCCTCTAGATCGTAAGTACAAAGTAACAAACAATTTGGATAACAGTGTATAGAGTCTTACTCACTCCCATTGTTATACAATTAGATGCAGATTTAATACACTGTATTGCAACCGTTACGGACGCCTTTTATTTACGACGTGTTTACAGGAATTCTAGACGTTTTGGACTCACCCCTCTGCTACACATTCAAGCTCACATTATTTGGTTAGAAGGTATGCGTTCATGGACATCGAAGCTATCTCACTACTGTATTTCCATCTACGGCTATACGATGTAAATAAACCGATTTGTCTACTCCCGATTCGATACAGGAACTGGCTCCGTTACTTCAAACACATACAAACACTCACTATATGATATTACATTGGTTTGTACCTAAATTGCTGTCGACGGTATGGTTGCATTAATCTTGCCAGGAAAGGGCTCGACCTTTACATAGACCACCGCATTTCATTGCAAATTTCACACGCGCACATGTCACCGGGAGCAGTTGAAACCTTTTTGCTGTCTCTGGAGTTGTTAAAATTGAGAGATATATTCCATGTGTGAGAGGTGACATTTGCCCTGCTCAATCTCCGTTTTCCATAGATGCACACTAAACAGAGTGATGTGTTTTCGATTGAGTGTACATGATTAACTAAGAAAATGTGCATTCCTCGACTTAAATATCAACCCAGCGTGTGGTTGATTTTGTCACATGAGTACGCTATTTTTTTAAACAACCGTGGCTAAACTCAGTAGTGTGTAATTTGTTTGCTAATCACGGTTACTACCCTCTTTCTTTTATCCCCACGCCACTTTAAATTATGACATTGTTTGTTTCGCGTTGTAAAGTATTCCCTGTTGAGACATGCTGGTTCGGTGAATGAGAAGTGGTCCTTACTCACAATGGAACATTTTGTTGCGTTTAAGAAATGCATAAAAATGAAAAATAGGAATATTTATAGGAATATTTTAAGTAGACTCTAACTATATAGTTTCTATTTCTGCCACAATGCTTGCACAATGTGGATTTATTGATTGACAATTTCGAAGGAGGGAGAGACACTTTTCGACAATAAACCCCACTTTAAATTTGTTAGGGGATGTAGCAATTAGTATACTAGTATAGATGTACTACTCACACTAATTAATTACTATAACTGATATGTTAAATGTTAATCGTACGAGTACATTGGTCGGATCGTCATTACTGTGGCGAAAACATACTTCGTGCTGTTACCACTAAGAACCACCATAAACAATCACGATTAGCTAAAATAACATGCAGCTACTAATTTAACTAATATTATTTATACTTGTGGAAAAGATATGGTGTGCAAGTCAAAACAGTTAAGTGAGTGTTTTCGAAATTGTTGGTTTGATAAAGAATGTTTAGTCACCAAACGTGCTGTCAGTAAAGCGCTTAATCATTATAGACATACAAAAAGTCAGAACAGACTTGAATATTACCTTCTATCTAAACAATCCTATCAAAAACAATTTAAAGAGAAAAAAGCAGAATTTCAAAAGCTCAGAAGGGATGAACTAATTAACCTGTCTAAACAGAAAAACTCTCATACATTTTGGCAGAAACTTA